ATAAACTTTTATGTATAACACAATTGTACATTGCCAGATGGATTAATGAGGTGACCCGGCATGTCTGATACATGAATCAAATGACAGCCTTGTTGCACACATAAACAAACACATTTGGTGATGCTAATTATGGGTTTAAATTTAGAAATTTACACAGCAAGTATATACTGTTCACTGCATTTGTCACACAAGCTCATGACTATAAGTGATAGGACTTTTTGACCGCATAGTTCTCAGCTTGTCAGAGGTGTTGATGGTCCGTTTTTAAGATCGTTAAACATCTTCCAAGAATAATACAATAACCCTGTGAGGCAAGCTTTTCAGTTAGTCTATCAACTGAGCTCTAGTTTTGCTATCATGAGTTTATCGTTTCTATTCTTTTTTCCTTCTTCAACTGACAGTTGCTAACATTTCCATGCAGACGTGTGTGAATGTACTTGTCAGACATCACAAACCACATTCAGGCCTACAGGATATGTGGGCTCTACTGTAGTTGACGGCTGTTAATGCAATGTCTGGTGCTAGCATTACTAAGAGTCTGTAACACAATTATAATTTGAACGACGTCTGCGCTTATGTTAGTCTTTTTTGTATTATTCCTATGGTTTTCATAATACTGGACCAGGCCGTATTCTGAGCAGCTGCTGTGGTGGTCATGGAGGAATGGAGAGACTGATTCCTATAAGGCCCAAGTTGCAAACGAGTCTTCGCATTGATCCTGATGGGCCAGCCTGTACACCAGCCGGTGACCTCTCCCACCTGCATCTTCTCCACGATAGACATCCAGCTTCTCCAGCCTCTGGCACTTAGACTACAGCTCTGCACAAGAAGTTTGGCCATAGGAGAAATGGTCGTAGCCAACTCAGCCTGGTTTCCCTCAAGGTTTTTTTTCCCCTTCACTTTCGTCAATTGGTGAAGTTTGTTTCTCGCAGCTGTCACCACAGGCTTGCTTGGTTTTGGGACTTGTGGAGCTGCACATCGATGGATTTGCTCTTCAATGTTTGGACTTTCAGCAGTGAAAATTAAACCCAACTGAACTGAACTAAATTGAACTCTGAAAACTGGACTGACACAGTTTCAATTTACTATAATCTTCTATGTTAAAGTTCTTTGACACAATATACATTGTAAAAGTGCTACAGAAATAAAGATAAATTGATTTGAATTGAAATTATAATGAAAACAGTTCATTCCTGAAGGTTTCCTCACTTCTGAACAATTTTACCATACTTTTGCAAGCCCAGTGATAGAACACCAGAAGAACTAGTTAATCTGGCTCAAGGTTATTAAGGAACTTATTGATGTTTTTCAGATGATCTCACTACTTTCGTTTCTATGCTCATTTGGATGACTTCATTGTTATCCTCAGTGTTTTGATGTCTCTATGTTATACCATTACTTCATTATCATTCTGTATCTGTTGCAGTATTGTAATGATTCTTTGAATGTTTTAACCGTTATACTTTTATAAAAGCCACTTCAAGCAGACTGCAGCCAGATGAGAACTGTAGAGACACTTTGTGTGTAAAGAGTTAAATAGAGCGAGGCTCACAACCAACATTTGTAAGGGCTCATGGATGTTTGGATGTAACAGGGTTCTTGCACCATTTTAAAAGTAAAATTTAATGCTTTTTAAGACCTTTTTAAGTATAAAATATAAGTATAAAATATAATATAATTTAAATATAGTTTAAGACCCAAAAATTTTATAATTTCTTTGGAATAGGCTACTCATTTTAATGTTCTCGTTAGATTTAAATAAATTGTGCCTCGTCACAGTATGGATAACCCACAGTACCTGCCTTTTGGGTGTCTGGTGGTGAAATGAAACTGTTATAGCTCACTATGAGAGGGCGTCTGAACTAAAGCTGTAATCAGGATATAAAAGTTAGGCCCAATAGAGCCCTAACCCGACAAGTACATTTTGGTTGACAGCTTTTTAAAAGCCCGAACCCGTTTATAGCCCGACATTATCCAAATGTGCACATGCACATAGCTCTTTTGTCTTTTTTCATGAATGAGTTGTTTATAAGGGTTAACATTACTTATTCATAACATAGGCTATAGGCCTAACATTAGTAACTAGTAACATTGTTAGGTCGAGCTGCAAACAATGCAGGGACTAACCTGGACCTGCTATGACAAGCTGCTGCAACGTCTCGCTGCTGCTTTCCTCCTTTCATGTGCGACTTGACGTCTTTGAGCCCCATGGTCCCTAACGAAAAGGTCTTTTTGCAGAATTTACACATTGCCTCTTTGCCACATCTATAAGTGTACAATTTCCCATCTTTGCATTTTGACACATCAACAACCGCATAATAACAGTACGCAGGTGTAGACCGACGTAAGCGTCTGTACTCTGTAGCTGACCTACCGTAAAGAGCTAATAAATCATGGAGACTGTCATTTCTCTCCTGTTTTACAAGTGCTAAATTAATCAACTATTAGATGTTTTACGGTGGACCACTGTGCTTCTATATCGTCATTAAGCACACCGGCTGAAAATGTAATACCTACAGCCACTTTACGGTAAAATTTAAGACAATTTAAGACCTTAATTTCCCGGATTTTAATTTAAGACATTTTAAGACTTTTTAAGGACCTGCGGGAACCCTGTGTAAGGTCAAGAGTGCATTTGTTACAGCTTACAGCTTATAACACATACTCACATGGCTCAATTAAAAATACATTAATTACATCATGGGTGCTGGACCAGCAGCAGGATACTCCCAAGACCCTGTTACCCTAAAACTACCTATGCAAACTTGAGCTGAACTTGCAGCTGACAGCTCAGTGTTCAGGAAACAGGATTTACTGGCAATGTTGTCCCAACAGGGCAAACAAAGGGCAAACTTAGTGTGAGCTCTAAAAACGGGGATTTCTATGGGAAAAGAAAGGGTAGAGGATGTTCAGTGTATGAAGAGTGTATGACAAGCAAGATAAGAGGAGGGTATAAAAGCTTCTCAGACTCTCGATCCACCTGTCTCTGCTGTTGCTGATAAAATCATAATAATAATATAAATAAATAAGAAATAAAAATGCTTTGACTTATAACTTCTCAATATCTCAGACTTCTTTATTTTTAGAGACTTAAAGACATGGAAAACGTTTTTGCAATCCAGAACAATTTTCCACAACAATCTCACCCCCCGAAGCGTAACAACTTTACTTTTTGGCAACTTAATGGCTCATTCAAAGGCTACTACATTCATTCATTCACTTTCCTTCAGCTTAGTACCTTATTTATTAGGGGTCGCCACAGTGGAATGAACCACCAACTTATCCAGCATATGTTTTACACAGCGGTTGCCCTTCCAGCTGCAACCAATCACTGGAAAACACCCATACACACTCATTCACATTCACTACGGACAATTTAGCTTAACCAATTCACCTAAAGCGCATGTCTTTGGACTGTGGATGAAACCGGAGCACCCAGAGAAACACGCGAACACGGGGGAGAACATGCAAACACCACACAGAAATGCCAACTGACCCGGCCGGGGACAGCGACCTTTTTGCTGTGAGGCGCCAGTGCTAACCACCGTGCCGCCTTCATATCTGCATATCTACTGTGGCTAAAATTATCTTTGCTCAACATGTAAATACAATGTAAGAAACTATAGTGATTATAGGCCAAATGGAAACACTTTATTATATTTTTGGTGAAAGTGCAAGTGCTGTATTAGAATTAGTGTTTTGTCTCTAAAATAAATACTTCCTATAATCACTGTGTATACTAAAACAGACAAATGTGTTTAAAAACTATAATTACTTCCTGACATGATGTCAACAATGAATCTAAAATGTTTGAGATACATTATGAATATAATGGATTGATGTAGATTCATTCATTTTCTTTTCGGCTTAGTCCCTTTATTAACCAGAGGTCGCCACAGCGGAATTAACCGGCAGCCTATCCAGAATATGTTATATGTCCTTCCAGCCTCAACCCAGCACTGGGAAACATCCATAACCTCTTGCTTTCACACACATACACCACAGCCAATTTAGCTTATTCAATTCACCTACAGCACATGTATTTGAAAACCAGAGCACATTGATGAAACATGGGGAGAACATACAAACTCCACACAGCAATCCCAACTGACCCAGCCAGGGCTTGAACTAGTGACCTTCTTGTTGTGAGGTGACAGCACTACACAGTATGACTCTTTCAATGTAGATTACTGAAGAAAATGTTTGAAAAAGCATAACAGGGCACTTTAATGTGTTTTTTAAAACAAGAATACTAGTAACTCTAACAATTTATACTGTTTGAGATTTTATTGGCTTAGCTAGAAACTTTTGAGACAACAATAATCTTTTATGTAAAAAAAGAAAATCTTATAATTCATCATAATCAGCAGCTTTAGTGACTGGTGCAATAATATTGCATAACTCACTTCTGTATAGAATAGGTCAAGGAGGGGTCGGTGAGTGTAGCATAAAAGCTCTATTGAGATCCTGTATGTTTTCTGCTCTCATCTGAGCTATTTGCAACAAAACATACTCATGAAAAATTGTACCACAACGGTCAGATGTTGTTTTTCCAGACAAGCACATAATGTTTCCATTCTCATGTGATGCTGAAGGAGATCAGCAGAAGCACCAGGTTTGTCACAATCTTGTGGACTTCATCAACTTTAGCACTTATTTCATTCAATCCAAGCATTTTTTTTGTCACATGCCTCTTTCTTTCCTAAAAAAAATCATTTAAATTATATTGTACTTTGTGTAAAACTATGCTTCTTTAATTCAGTGGCTAAATGTAATGAGACAAAAAAGTTTTATTATTTTATTTCTAAACTGCAGTTCTGTAACGCTTACCTGAGCTTGAACTAAATAGGAAAACAGGTTAATACTTTGTTTTGAAATATCCCATGTTCATAAACAATAATAATGCATCACTGGTTTAACTGCTGCCGCCTCTATGCTGAAGCCCCGCCTTATTTTGTACTGTCGCCGTGTGATTGGCCAAACGCGCTGCCACCGAAATACTTCGACTGGCAGTGAGAAAATAACCTTTCGGAAAGTCAGCAGCGGCGTTAAAGCATGTCTTTCTGCTCTCCGGTACGAAATTTCTTCATCTTCCAAACAGTCCGGCTTATGTGGTGTTTCAGTTGACATGGATTGGTACGGACGGATAGGGATTGCAGTTCATGAGGTGAGTGTTGCCACATACAAAAGTTGTTTAAGAGAATGTTTAAAACGTAAACTTGCTGGCGAAGATTGACGAGGATTTAAGTTACCTGAAATCAGTAATACAGGGATAAAAGTTGACCGTTGCATTGACGCTAGACAGTGGTTGAAAGTTTGTCATTAGACGAATCATCTTTATATCAAGTAAAACGACGTAACGTTACGGTTTTAAAGACTGGACGTTATCCAGTAACGTTAAGTTAGATATTTTTATTTGACTTTGGGTTGACTTACCTTAACGATCAAATATCAGTTAAGTTACTTCTTTCAAACTCGGAAAGTTTTGTCGCTTTCGTTTCACCAAAGCATGTTGAAGTGTGTAAAAATAGCACATAAATGTTGACGGAAGTTTACCAAAACACTCAAAACGTGCCTTAAATGGTCTATTTTCTTTACGCGGATTTGCATGAATGAATTTGCATGTTCGCCGTGCACAAACAATAGAGTATTGTCCTCAGTTTGTCAATGTGCAGTAACGATGTGCACGTTGTACTGTATAATATGAACGTTTACTTTTTAAATTATCATTTGCTTATTGTTTAGACGTTTTCAGTCACTGACAGTAACAGACAAGACTGTCCCTCTGTGTTTCATAGGCACGTGAAACGTATTTGGACATTATGGTTGTGTTCCAAATGCTGCACACGTGTCATGTTGACTAGGAAGACAGCTCAGTTGTTATTTTACACACAGCCACAGTATGCTGAAAGATGTTGGGGGTTATTTCATCACTTTGAGACCTCTGGGTGGCCTCACCTAGGGACTAGCTGTCTCCTCCGCTGATAAACCACTTAAATCTCCTTTCACTGCCACTGTCAAGTCTAGTGTTACCCTCCTGTGAGCATCATTATGCTCTCTGCTCATTAGGGAACATCACTAGAGGGAATGTGTGCACCTCTGCTGTATATTATGAACACCTTTTTAAAATGGCTTTGTTTTAATTGTGTAAAATGTTATCTATCTATCTATCTATCTATCTATCTATCTATCTATCTATCTATCTATCTATTTATTTATTCATTTATTTAGTTTATGGATGTGACAAAAAAAGTCTGCGAGTTTACAGTACATAACATACTTTGTAGAAATTCTGTGAATTAAACTGCACAACCCAAAAGAAACAATGATAATCAAAAAGATAAGAGTTGGCAAGGTTGATATTTGTATGGAATTGCTGCCATCTATCTAATCTATCTATCTATCTATCTATCTATCTATCTATCTATCTATCTATCTATCTATCTATCTATCTATCTATCTATCTATCTATCTATCTATCTATCTATCTATCTATCTATCTATCTATCAATCAATCAATCAATCTATCAATCAATCTATCAATCTATCAATCTATCTATCTATCTATCTATATTACTCTTATAGTCTTAAAAAGACGTTCATAAACAGCAAATGTGCACTAACATCTAAAAACATCTATTTGAATTTTTAAATGCACGTACGTGAAAAATGTCTGAGTATGGTTCCTGATAAAGAATTATATTATTATATTCAGAAGTACAGTGGGGCTGTATATAAAGAGACGTTATTAAACAGTCAAATATGTGACATGAGAGTTGGAGCATTTGTGCATATTCAGACTTAATTAGCTTTGATGTATTTTGCCAAACTGTGGTCCTGCATGCAAAGGAAGTAAGGTGAAACAGAAAAGTGCCCACATGTTGTGGTTACCGCTTACACACTTCCTAATGTTTGGAGGAACCGGTCACATGACACTTGTGTAAATGTAATAAAGAACTGTAATGTCAGGCAACTATGCTTTGACATACCCACAGAAAGGAAGGTATTGCTAAGCAAATAAATAAACCTCAGACGTGAAGCTGTTTGAATATACTCATCATTTTGCTCATTTGCATAAAAGATGAACTCAACATTTTTATTTTTTTCCTTTTTATTTCCTTGTACAGATATGATTTAGCTGAGTCAAGGTGGAGCTCGGAGTCCAAGATGAGCAATAAGCAGGGACTGGGCTGCATCAACCCTCTTATTCAAAGTAGTATGGAAGGTACCATGGGTACTGTAGTCCCCGCGGGGCTCCCTAAAGCCGACAGCCTGCCACACTATTCCCATGACAAAGCTCTACCAATCAGCAGGGCTTACTTTTCTTACGCTTTAAGTGGACAAGATGCTCTTGACTTTCCTTCTCCATGGGGCCATTCAAAAAGCTGCGTCAGAAATGGGCCAAGTCCAGGGATTCACTCATCGACCTCTGATGGGTCGTTTACAATTCCAGCTGTTTACAGACCTGATAAGCTGCCTTTCCCTGTGGATGCTGGAAATGGGCGCTGTAGTGGACCCCAAGAGTTGGCAGCGAAGCAGAGGCTGGCCTATTATGCCAGCAGTCCAAGACAGCACAGTCCAAGGGCAGCAAGAGTTGTCTCGCCAGTGGCAATTCCTAATGGTCATATTAGAGGCTCTGATGCAGAGAGATGTGTTGGATTGGCTATTCCAAAACCAGTATACAGTCATAGCCCTTGCTGTACTGAGCGTGGCTGTACTGCCGGGCACAACTATGGCATGGAACATGGCCCGCATAGGATGTCCCCTCACATATATGATGAGGATTGGGCTGCTCATTATAGCCGCCTGGCTTATCTGCATAAAAAAGGCCAGGAAGCACTGGCACAACAGAGGGGTTTGCAGTTGGAGCATGGTGTGGAGGGTATAAAGGATGGAAAGACCGGGGGCTACAATACTGGATCGAATGGGCCAAGGAGGCCACTTCCTGTAATGGAACCAAGCTATACTTATAATGCTCCGCATCCATTTATTAGTGCCACACCAGAGTATTGCCATCGTGCCCCAGTTCCTCCACAGATGTACAAGGGATATCCACATGCTTATGACCCAAGGACATTGGCACACCCTGAAGTTTCTTCAAAAGTGTATCAGGGTCGTTCCCCCATATCCAAATACACACCAGTGCCTCCATGTCCCAATATCTATTATCCTCAGAGTCACCCTGAGACTTACAGAACCAATTCCAGTGCTCTTACAAATGAGCATGGTCAGCGCCACCACATGGGTCAGTTTCATTCGCCTAGAACAGACTTGATATCACCACCCTGCTCTGCTGTGCCCACTCACCATCCACTGATCTCAAAATATTCTTCTTATCATCCATATGGGGTCCATTTAACTACTAACCAAGCACCCACCAATGAACAGACACATCCACCTTTTCCAGTGGATCAGTCAGAACGGCCACTTGATTTCTCGACACGAAGGGTCCAGACACCAGACTCTCCTCGAGAGCTTTGTAAAACATATGGAACTTCTGGGGCTTTCCATCCTACTCTATCCCACAACAGATGTCTCAGTAATACCCCTACCACTGAACACTCAGAGGTGCCTGGCTCTTTCACTGGTAGTTCCAAAGAATTTCCCATGAAGTCCAATGAAGAGGTCATGGCGTTCAGGCACTGTATTTCAAATTCACCTGACAATGGTATATTAGCTAAAAGGCCTATAGAGGAACCTGAAACAGACATAGCTAGTAAAAAGCAAAAGACTTACTCAGTCCACCAGTTGTCAGAAGATGAACCTCATTCACCATCATCACCACCAATGCCAGTTATTAATAAAGTTTTTAGCTTGGCTCCATATAAAGTCTATTTAGAAGCTACAGGCATGTTGTCTTCATCAGGGGATTCAAAAAGTCCGAAGCCACAGCCTGAGATGGTGCAGCCTAAACAAGAGGCAGACATTGAAAACTGTAATATACAACCAAATTCTGGCGAAAATAGTCTCAGATTAAAACAAAAAACCCAGACTTTACCAGCTAACAGAGATGATCCAGTTGAAACACCAGACGCTATAAAGATTAAAACAGAAGAAATGGATGAAGGTGATCCGAGTAGTCAATCAGAAATAAAAGAGACAGTTTCTGAGGAGGTAAATCATCAGGAACATGTTTCTGTGCTCAAAGAAGAGCGAGTGGAGTTAGACACAAAATTGTCTGGCTCTCTTTCTTGTAAAGTTGTAGTAAAGAGTGACTATGAAGAAGAAAGCAATCCACCCTCAGTAGAAAATCATGAACTTTCAACATGCAAGACTGGGAATGCTGTGACAGACAGCAAAGAATGCACTCCTGTTCCCACAACACCTCCAGCACCTCCTCCACTGACCAAATTCTCCCTTACCAGAATCCCACCTCATTGCCTGAAATTGTCCAGTTTTAAAATAGTTATCCCTGAGGTCTTAAGATCTCCAAAAACCCAACTCGTGGAAGTTCCTCAATCTCCGATGGAGTCGCGTAAGCCCATTATAACTAGCAGCAAGCATGCCCGTTATCAGTTTATGGAGCTTCACCAGTCCCTCTGTAGACTTTTACACTGCAATGTTACTCAAACCCCATGTCAGGTGCTCAGGGACTGGTTATGCAAACTGGACGTATGTGAGTCAGGCAAAGCTCAGAAAGTTTCTTGCCTCTTGGGGTCAAAAATGAGGGAAGTGTGGCTTAAAGGGGATGAGATGGAGGTGGCTCTTCAAAGGGTGGTCCGCCAGCTTCAAATGTACATTGACATCAGTGAATGCCCCTTTCCTCATGTCATGAGGGCTGGTGCTGTGTTCGTTCCCATGTTGGTGGTCAAAGAGGTGCTGTTTCCTCAGGTTCAAGGCACATATATAGACCAGGTTCTTCAGGAGCATCGGGTGGAGCTCCGGCCCACCACGCTCTCAGAGGAAAGGCAACTCACTCAACTCCACAGAAAGGCTTTCTCTTCAAAACTCCGGAGACTTCTGTCCCTTAAACACCTGCCTGACATATACCCTGATGTCCTCAACCTCCTCTACTATGCCAATGTCTGCAAGTTCCTCGGTGAGTGCTAAATGCTTGATCATTGTTAATTGCATAAGAACTCCTGGTTGTTTAGTGTTGCAGTAGGTGAATTTTGCATTTGTGAGCTGGGCTCAGATTACAGGAGTTTCTAACCAATTCATCCCACATGTGAGTAGGAATTTAACAGATTGTCTTCCCTCAAATCTCTAAGATGCACATGACAATCTAAAAATTGTGATGCATCAAACTTTACAAGAAACTATTAAGTTTATCATGGCAGAGTAGACGTGACAATATTCAATTAATCAATATATCATGAAAATGAACATGCTCTATATTGATATCATAGGCACTTTAGAATACATTGAGTTATTTATTTTTACATCATTATTTATTTATTTATTTATTTTATTTTAGGAAATGAATGTTGTATTTGCAGTGGTGTTATAACAGCCCCAAATGCTTGGAGACTTAATTGTTTAGCTTAATAGTTTAAACATTAATATTTTCATGTTAAATTGACTTACTTCACGCTGAAATACTAAATGGAGTAAATAACTGATCAAATTCAGTCTTATTTTTGAATCAGTATTAACATAGTATCTGAAATAAAACTGACTGTTGGTTTTAATTCATTAACTTATATTAACTATTGAGAGTTAAATGTTAAATTTGACCTATTCTACTTTGTAGTTCTTTTGCAATTTAAGTTGAAACATTTTTTTTTTACTTTAAACAGTACACTTAGCATTTTTGTTATACCAGTTTAAAAATATATATATTTTTTGCAGCTTAGATCAGTATCGAGATATCGTATACCACGATAAAACCAATTAATCACAACAATTTGATACCATTATAAGCCCATACCAGAGAGAGCAGCTCACATAATCTGACACAGCAATCCCCATTTGTGTTCACAGGTAATGCTTACATTTGTTTTAGCTAGCTCAGCCGGTACATTCGTTGTTTTTGTGGTTGTCTTTTCCAAAACATATACTGGCAGCTGTGCTTTTTTCTACAAGCAGTTTTCACATCTCTTTCACATCTACAGCAACTTTAGGCCCCAATGAGTCTGGGAGCAGATTTACAGATTTAATCTGTGAATGCCTCAAATTAACTGAGGTCTTTGATGAGATTTATTGCTCAGATTGTCAGGAATGGGAGATAAACTGGCCTCCAGCAGTGTACTCCTGTAATGTGAGCTCAACTTTAGAAATTCACAGTAATATCAGTCAATGGTACAGATTTTTGAAATCATCAGTTGATATTGGGACATTTAATTGTGCATGATTATTTAATTTCTGCATTACTGTCATAATAAATTATCATGTAGCATTTAAAAACTTTTTTTTTTAAGTTTGAGAAAATAAGATTAAGAAATTTAACATCAGCCATACCATAAAATTTTATCATTTTTTATTTCATTTTTTTAAATACATTTGATTATAATTTTATTACTGGTGCATCCCTGATACAAGCTTTTTTTTTGGCAACGTTAATAAAATGTTATGTATTAAATTAAATCATTGATTATTTTTGTGATGATAAGTAATAGTTATATAGTTGTGCCAGAGTGAATCATTTAGGACATTTAAGCCTAAATTTCATAAAATTTTCTTAACTGTCCTAGTTCTTAGAAATATGAATGTGCTCAATGAAGCTGCATTTTAAATTTAGCCAATTTCAGTTCCACATTAAAAAAAAAAAACAGAACTATCAAACTTTTCTCTTGAATTCTGTTAACACTCTGAAATTTGATTTGAGATTCCTGTTTTATTTCGGGACGTTAGTCATTTTCATTTTTGTTTTATATTGTACATTTATGTTCATTCCTTTTTTTCTTTAAAATCCATACATGCTGTATACCTGTGGTGACTTTTTTTTAATGTTCATGCTTTCTAATTTTTTTGTCATAATTTTTTTTGATTTGATACACATTTGTTCTTGCAGATTCCACTGCTACAGATGGTGTCCAAAAAACGCCCAGGTACCTTCTTATTCCTTTGTCCCCCAAAACTCCTGAAATCACAAATAAATCTTGCTGACAGTCATAGAGAGGGCTTTGTTTATTTTTGAGCTGCACACTTTCTAACTGGTGCAGTTTTGTTGCAGGTGTTTTTCTGATCAGATAGAGGCTGGAACGGAACAGTGATAGGATGTCTTTCAGTTTCAGATAAATGTACTTCAGGCAAGGAAATGTAGTTTTTGGTAGAATGGTTGGCACGTGCGCTGTCATAACTTTTTTCATCTGCAATGCCATTGCAGAGCTCCAGGTGTTGACAGCTTATCTGTTATCAGTTAAAGGGTGCAATTTTTTAATTGCAAAGCCAATTCCTGTTTAAGGCATTCTTTTTTTTCTCAATAATTTCTGGCACCTTTTACAGTTGCTTTAACCTGTTATATTTTATGAGAAGCCTAATTATTATTATTATTATTATGGTTGGTGTGGCTGGGTTGTATTGCTACTATAAATAGTAACCAGTTTGACAACATTTTATTCGGCATCTCATGATTATTTCTAACCTGTGACCATAATATCAACAGGTTTCATATGCATGTATCTGACTCATTTACACCAACCAGATCTGAGAGAGAGAAAGTAAGATCACATCCGGTATGGATTTCATTCAGCACATCAAAGCAATCATTCACCAAAAGTTATTTAATCATTTCATAACCCTCCAAACCCTAACCCTCCTGCCATTCCACATATTTTTGTTCTTTTATGGAACACAGACTATGATGTTCTTCAGTTAATTCAAGGAAAAAGTTTTCCCCCTAAAAGATTGAACAGTAATTGATCTAATTATTTACACAGATTAAACATTTGAAAAGGCTATTTAGTTTTATATGTAAATTTTGTTCTGTATAACATAAATGAGTAGATTTTGTAAGATTATATTGATATATTATAAATTTAGATTTTATGAATTTTATATATTCTACCAATTATAATTATATGTAATTGTTTTTTATATATGTGTATATATATATATATATATATATATATATATATATATATATATGTGTGTGTGTGTACATATATACACACACAAAACACACATACATATTATTGAAACGTATAATATTTATAAAATCTAAATTTAAAGTATACACATATACAGTTGAAGTCAGAATTATTAGCCCCTCTTTGAATTTTTTTTCTGTTTTAAATATTTTCCAAATGATGTTTAACAGTGCAAGAAAATTTTCACAGTATCTCTGATATTTTTTCCTCTGAAGAAAGTGTTTTTGTTTTATTTTGGCAAGAATAAAGGCAGTTTTTTATTTTTAAACACCATTAAAAATTAAAACTATTGGGTTAAGAAATGTGTTGGAAAAAAATCTTCTCTCCATTCAACAGAAATTGGGGGAAAAAATAAACATGGTGCTAATATTTTAGGGCGCTAACAATTCTGACTTTAATTGTATATATTTTCAAGAGAAGAATTTCATGCACATTTGACGTGAGATATTGTAATTAAGCATTTAAATGGGCTGCAGAACCGTGTTTTGTGGCCTGAAGAATCGTGATCTATATTTTTTGTTTTTTTAATTAAAGCCTTGATGACTTTGATGTGAAATCAAATAACAAACTGTTGTGATGTCAGACAAAACATATTTTGGAGTGAAGGGGTAATTCAACCAAGTCATTACAATTCTCTTATTCATTACTGAATCTAATTTTGTTCCAATCCCAAAGACATTTGTTCATCTTAAGATGTTTTAGATGTCCTTAAAAGGAACCCCAAACATTGTCTAAACAGTTCAACAATGTGATTGTAATGATTCAACTGTAATCATACAAAGCTCCAAAAACACTTGAGTGGAAAAAAAATGGGAAAATGACTTAATTCCCCTTTGACTTCTACATCAAATGATGGTGTGCAGTACAAAGCTTGCATTCTATTGCTATAGTTAACGTACACTCTGACCTTCTTTTATTTATATATATATATATATATATATATATATATATATATATATATATATATATATATATATATGTATATATATATATATAGTTTTTCTTGCACATCTGTTATTGGGGCTTTTTATGTGTATAGTTCAACCACTGATGTCACATGGAATGTTTCAAGAATGTTTTTGGTTCCTTTTCTGGACTTTGAGCATCTCTAACTAGCATAACGTTTGCTGTCTGTGGAAGACAAGAAAGTTCTCCAATTTCATCTATACTTTTAAATGAGTGTTCCAAAGATGAACAATGAAAGTCTCAGAGGATGCTAACAACATGAGTAGTTAAAAACAGAATTTAGTATTTTGTGTTATTAATGAATTCTTTAACCTACCACAAGTCAATAATGAAATGCCAATCCTAAATTTGCAGTGATTTCTCTTTCTCTAGGAGCTGAAACCAGCTTAACCGTCAAGAGAGAGAGCACTGACAGCACAGATGAATCCACCAGCTGTGTGAATGAAGCTGAAGAATTTAACCTCGAGTCCTCCACAACACTTACACCCCAAACCACTCTCGTAGAACAAACATACTGCCTGAAAACAAAGAAGAAAAGCAGGGTAAAGATCTCCTCCAAGAGGACATTTTTAGACCACAGCAGCTCATCTGAAGAGGACGAATCCAGCGCAGGACCCAGAAGGTGGAGCGTCATCAGCTCCGTACGCAATCGGGATCAATGGGAAATCACAAATCAGTGGGAAATATCTTCATGCAGCCACACAGAGCCCCATGTTGAAGTAATGATTGAAGACGAAAGCCAGGATCACGAGCCATGGGGGCGACCTTTGACCTCTGACGACCTGACCTCAGGCGAAGAGACGGAAAGCACATCATCAAAGTCCAGCCGCAGATCCAGCATGGTCCTCAAACTAAGGAAGGTTGTCTACAAAGAAGCTCATGGAGGCAGAATCGCCCACTACCAAAAAGTCACTGATTCTTCTTCTGGGTTTACAAAAGGAGACAGGAAAGGGAAGGGCAAATCATCTCGAAACAAAAGACACCACACGGACCGGGACTTTTCGTTCAGGTCTTACACTCAAAACCGTTCCTACCTCTCCAAAAAACGCTGCCGATGGGTCCTGCGCTCTGCCGTCCAGTCAGCCCATCTGGAGAACATATATCCTGATCTAGTGGGCAAGAGGATCCGACATTTATATGAGGAAAACGATAAAAGTGAAGTTTGGTATCGAGGAGTCGTGCTGCGCATTCACGAGCCGCACAGCAACCCATTGAAAACCGTGTTTGAGGTTAAATATGACAGCGAGCCCGAGTGGCAGTACTATCTGGAGCTGCTGGTGGATTATAAGAAAGGATGGCTGAAAGTCGAGGACTAGGTTTTTATGGTATTACGGTTTTATTTTTGCACCTGATATTTGGAAAATGTGACGATGCTGAATTGATGAGCAGTAAAAACTTGACACATTCGGGGAGATGTGTTTGTGTAAGCAGTGCGTGTGTGACTCTTTGTGTGTTTCTGGTGTCAATATTGTCTCTGTTGTCGTTGTTTTTATGGAGTTGTTGGCAGACATTCCCAGCTGGTGACATCACATGTTGGCATGCATGTGATTGGAGGAAGGGGAATGTAGTTCAGCAAGATGTTTCACTGTTTACAGAATTATTTTTATATTGGCTGCTGTCATGTGTTTTTAAAAATAAAACAAAATATTAAATCCATTGGACTTGTTTTCACATTTATTATAAAGTGCTTTTTTTGTATTGATCTTAAATCTATTTCTTGATATTTCAGTGAGCGTGATTTTGTTTGATAAGCTCTTTAGTGAATGTTTTATTGTGTTAGTTACTTAGTGGATGGAAATGGCATTCTAGATCAGTATATACTGCAGTTTTCTATACTACATATGATTAGAATTGGTAAGCTTGTTTATTTTTATGTTTGCTCATCAAAATTACAGGAAAGTATTATAAAGTTTACGGTAACACTTTACAATAAGGTTCATTAGTTAATGCATTTACTAACATGAACTAATCATGAACAACACATGTACAGCATTTATTAATCATAATTAAACATTTAGTAATGTATTATTAACATCCAAGTCCATGCTTGTTAACATTAGTTAATGCACCATGAGTTAACATGAACTAACAATGAACTACTGTATTTTCATTAACTAATGTTAACTAACATGAACAAATACAGTAGTAGATGTATTTTTCATTGTTTGTTCATGTTAGTAAATGTATTAATTAATATTAATGAACCTTTTTGTAATGTGTGACCGAATTTACAATATAAAATATATAAAAACTTGTAATTTTATTTTTATATATAATGTAAAGAAATATTAAATAGGTGCATGAGGGAAAATCACCTGAATCATCTGAAAATGTGCAAAAGGGAGTCAAATAATCTTATACGCTATTAATACGGGTGAAATATTCAGCCTGATAATATATCTGATGAAGATCGTGGGAGCGAAACATATAATCATAAAAAAACAGTAGATTCAAATGGGATCAGCTGTCAAAAATAGAAATCCCTTCCTAAATCACATTTGATCCTGCCTCTCATCTTGAATGGGTGTAGGGCTGAGTAAATACTTGAAGTTTTATGATCCCTTCAATGCTAATGAATGCTGGGACATTCCAAGCACAGGATGGCTTCTGGAGGCAGAGTTTATTACACCTCAAAAACACATTTGGGCCGTTTGTCTAAGCTTGTTCCTTCAACAATATACCATCAATCTGCTGCTGTTCTCCTTTCAAGTAACTTTGTCGTATTTGGTCTCGTTTTGACAGTTTTTGCCTCAACTATGTACAATCTATGTACTATTGTTCAGACATGCCTTGAGCAGCATATGCTAATATACTCCTCCTCTTGACCTTCTGGTTTTCATGTCAGCTGGTTTTGGGGGTTGGTAACTGCTGACCTGGGAGAATGGCCGCTCCCACACACCGGTGCGTATAGCCCCACATGAAAAAACAAAGCAAAACAAACCATACGAACTTATGGTAAACTTTAGTGTTTTTAAACAATACTGTAGTACAATACTTGAGTTATTCTGTTGGAATTCTATAGTTGTTATGGTAATAATACAACAACTATAGTCAAATTAACAAGTGACCAAATACTGTGCTTTTATATATATTATATTACAGTTGCTGTCGTAACTGAAGTACCGTATTTATCTTTCAATTTAATGTAGTTAATGCTGCAGTATGATGTAGCATTGTTAATATAATAGTATACAGAATATAATAACAGTATTCTTTAATAGTATGGTTTAAAAACACTGAAGTTTTTGTTCTCAGGTCAGTAAATCTGCATGGCAGTAGATCGTTAGTTAAATGTCTCGATTTTGCTGTAAATTTAAACATGTAACAATAAATATCTTTATGAAATTGGATATTTTTTTCGCCTTAAAAAGTGAATGGAGTCTGATTTATTATAATGCAGTAAGAGTAATATAATGACGGAATATTTTTCCTGATAGTCTGCAGAACAAACCATCATTATACAATAACTTGCCTAATTACCCTAACCTGCAGAGATACCCTAATTAACTTTAAGCTTTTAAATGTCACTTTATGCTGTATAAAAGTGTCTTGAAATAAACAGGGGGACTAATAATTCTGACTTCAACAGTATGTATATGTCTGTATATATATATATATATATATATATATATATATATATATATATATATATACACACACACACACACGCACACACAAATATTTAAAGTGATTTTAATAAGGCCTTTGTGCTGAAGAGAAATTAAAACATGAATCGTTTAATTAGACAGGTATTGCACTCAAGTAATGTGTAGCTAAACAAAAATCTGACACATTTACACAAAGTAATCATTATTAATTAAAAGCATTGAGCTGCAAGGTTTTGCTAAATAACATGGATTTATCTCAGAAATTATAAAATATTCCACCTTCATCCTGTGTGTTACAGAATTAGACTCATGTATATACGTATCTTCCAGGAGTGTTGCATAAAACTCCACTGGAGCACAGGCCCCCCTCAACCGCACCCACCTCAACCCACCCAAAAATATAGTTTGCCCTTATATAAATTGCTATAATCAAATTATTAATTACTTGTCTGAGACCTGAATCTGATGACTGAGACTCATCATCTCTCCTTTGTGCTTCATACAAAAATCATCTTACAGGAGTCATGTCTAGTCAAAATAAGATCATCATCATATTACTTAAACTTTAGTTTTGCTGACTTGCAAAACCTACTGCTTACCGATACCACTGCATTATAAGCCGTTACGCCGCTTTCACAATGTGTGTATGGTGCATATTTTTTTCAGCGTGTGTTAAATAACTAGGATTCACACCGGGAACAGGAGCAGCATGTAATGAGTTTCTGAACGCATACGTCAGTTTGTTTTCTATTAAACTACATTGATTTTACAAGTGTTGATTGGGTCGTACATAGAGAATAGCGTCTTTATTCTGCGATTACCACTTTTAACTAATACACTTACAAATGAAGTAAACTGTAACTAAACACATTTACTGGGGGACTGGCATTTTTACTGGGACATGTGCCCCAGTAAATGGGGTCTTGCGACGACCCTGGTGGTCACGTTTCCATTCATTAACCATGATGGATGCCAAAAAATAGACTTTATTGAAACTAATCCGAGATGGCTGAAAACAGCCCTTCAGGACAACCTGAAGCCTCCCCTAGACCATCTGAATAGTATGTGTCCATGGTGCTGCTTTTATGCATATTTTGCACCCACCTCTGTGTGTTCTCATTTTAACTCTGACCATCTTTGAATAAAACTTTACTTTACTGAAAGGTCAAGTATATGTTTAGGTGGTTTTGTTATTCTTGGCCCTGCACACTCTGCAAAGCAAGCAAACGGTGAACAAATTTGTCTCCCCACATTCCCCAAAGACAGGCACGCTTCCCCAATGTACTATCGTATTTCTAAAATCCCTAGACTATAGACAGCTAGGTAAAAAGATAATATACAATCCAAAATGATCTGTTCGAACCACTTGACTCAGTATCTTTAAGATTTCTGTCCCTGAAGACAGCTCTGCTGGTCACGTTGGCATCGATTAAGAGGGTGTGCCTGGACTCGTGCCTGGAATTTGGGCCGGCCTACTCTCACGTTATGGTGGTCAGCAGAAGGGAATTGCCAGATCAAAACAGAGGTTGGCCCACTGGATAGTGGATGTCAACTCCCTTACTTACCAAAGCCAGGGTGAGCCGTGTCCCACAGGAGTCCAAGAACACTCCACTCAGAGCATGGCATCCTCTCGGGCGCGTACATGTGGCACCTCTCTAACAGATATCTGTAGAGCTGCGGGCTGCGCGACACCTAACAAATTTGCAAGATTTTATAATCTGCAAGAGGAACCGGTTTCTTCAAGGGTGTTAGGAAACCTTGGTGATTAAGGAAACATTCGGTGAAAGGGTTGCAACACCCTGCGCCTTTCTTTCTTACACAGAGATATGTGTGCTTTCTCGCTTTTTCAGTAAGTTCCCGCTAAGTGAAACCTGCAGAGATTCCTCCGAGGCTCCCAGCATCTGACTCAGCGGAGGAGTCAGCATTTGGCCCATTACGTTGTTGGCATGCCCGCTGGTCAGCCCGCATTCTGGGTATAGGTGCCCGCTATGCGCGATCCCCGCTGGAATCCCATATGCTTAATCAGCCACTATGCAGTCCCCGCTCACAGGTGGACCTGTGTCTTCCCTCACAGCTAACCATCTCATTCTCATATGTGTACTCCCCCTTCTCAGTGCAAGTCCATATATCTTCTTGCCACCAGGTCTCCCCAATTGGGCAGCAGGTGGCCTTCGCAGCATCCTCCCTATCGGGACTGCACGCTTTCCCAACGTACTGTTGTAATAAAAACTCCTATAATTTAAATAGATGCATTATGACTACTGAAATATTAATCTAAATCTGTAAAAGACAAAAACAGCACCAACAGGGGCCTACCTGCTGGCTGAGCTCCAGCAATGCACAATACCGATACTCTTGTGTCTCCCTTTTCGGCCTGTTTTCTGTCCATTACCTAATGGAAATACCTACCACAGAAAAGACATCCATCTAACAATCTAGGCCCACCACCACCCCCTTCCTCTTGGAAGGACATCTATTTAGTCATCCATTCAGGAAATACCTAACCTGATTACAAGTTTGCAGTCATTGCTGAGGTGTGATTCCCATTTCTCCACATGCCCCAGTCTAATCTGAAAAAGACAAAACAAGACTAACAGAGCTCTACTTGCTGGCTGGACTCCAGCAATAAACAAAATGTTCTCCAGCGTTCTTCAGATAAATCTTCACTGTTTCCTATGTGAGTCTCCTTCGGCCTGTTGTGTGTCCATTAACAGCAATGTAAATAACTGCAATAGAGATGACAACAACGTATGCCCTAACAACTTATTCCAAAAACCTCCCTCTTTCTCATGAAATTACATCTGTATATCCATCTGCCTTTGAAAAATATTCCAGACCATGGGTTTCCAGTCATTGCTGAGGTGTTTTCCCTTTTTTTCTCCACATGCTGCACTCCACTCTGTAAAAGACAAAGGCAGGACCAACAGAGCTCTACATGCTTGCTGGACTCCAGCAATGCAGTTAATCCAAGTTAATTGGATTAAACTTAAAAATTGAAGACAGTACTTAATTTATTACGATGCACTTTTCATTATTGAAGCGTTTCCC